TCATAATATTTTTCGAAGAATTCACGTCAAATTGCATTGACGTTACATGGAAATTAGCGCTCAGAAATAACTTAAATCTTAATGTAACATATCCTAACACAATTCTATTTAATAAGTCTCTAAGCTAAAAATTCACCAAACGTAATGAAAGCATACCTTCATTAGATTTAGTAAGTATATTAAGTAGTGAACATTTTCATACATAATCTGTAACTTTTGACTTTGAATATACATTATAGTTAGAAAACAATTCAGTTATATAAAAATAACATTCAAATCTACAATTTGCACCATAACACTAGAATTCGAACATAGCCTAAACTGTGTCATATCGAGAGCCGCTTGTTATAATCTTGAGGATTTGTGGGTGCTCTCGCGGCCTAGACTAATTCTATTAATTGAATACAAAGAAAATTTGAAATCACAACTTTTACATGACTTTTTCTACCAGTTAACTTAATTAACTATATGGAGGACTTACAGCTACAAAAACAGATAAAAAATAGGAGACTGTAGTAACCAGAAAGCCAATTAGGTACCTGCCCCCTGTGCCAAAGTAAATAATGTATGCATGTGAGTACCAAAACGGAAATAAATATCTACCATATACTTTATTTTAATATAATGGAATTGATGGAGATGTGATAAAAAAGCATTAGAACCAAATACTACTTGAGAAATGTGTGAAAATATGGTCAAATGGACTTTTATTGTGAATCATATTCCTTTCATAAAACATTTATTATTACGGAATCAGTTTGGGAGCCCAACATTAATGTTTTTTTTCTATAATTATTGCCAAATACTTTTACCTAATCAATTATGCAATGTACTCACTATACTGCGAATTGAAATCTAGTTTACCTATACTCAATATTGCATTATTGTACTTCGAAAATTTTGTTTCGTCTATAGATATTTTTTATCTGTTGGATAATATAATAAAATATCAGATTTTCACTATCTTCTACTATAAGATTAAAAGAAAGACATTACATACGCGAACATTTTCCTCGATAAATAGCTTTAAATAACTTTAAAACTAATTTATAATCTTACTTCTTCTACTACAACACATAGAATAAGAGAGATTTACTTTAAGTATCCTCCTGCGGCTTCGCCCGCGTGGAATTTAACAGATTCCTCTTCCTTTTTTCATTGCCTTTCTCGTTAATCAGTCCAGCAGTGGAGCCTACGCAATAAAAACAAAGAAACGTTCAATTTTTCCTCTTTAAAATATTAGAATAGATAAGTAGTCATCGACTTCTTATCTCAATTTCGTTGGAGTCAGCTCAACACATAAGTAGGTGTTATGCATTATCAAACATCATCGTGTCATTCATTCTCTTTCAAACATTGGGCCAACAATTGTGTGATAATATTAACAGTTGGCAGGGGTCAGAGCCAATGTACATTTATTTTCAGATAATTTGAGCCAATTACAAAATTCTTAAATTTTATTTTATTATTCTTTTATAATTCTTTTTGTAAACATGTACTTTGACTGGATCATTATAATATATTCCAGGTATAATTATAATTATAAAAAGTAATATAATGCTACCTGAAACAACATGAAATCACGTCGTTAGTTTCCATATTATGTTGGTCAGGGACAGCAATATAACTCCCGAGACGTTAAGAAATTTTAAAGTTACGGCACCACGGACCAAGTCTTGTAGGTGGAGAAAAAATAATATAAAAAAGGAAAGAGGAATAATAAGAGATGAGTCTTAATTATTGTTATTGATTCTATCGTATCATCGAATTGAATATTGTATGATTGTTATTTGAACTAAAACCGGACAACCATCCCTAATTCACATAAAGACTACCCAGCCTACATTATACAAAATTACCTAGCAATGTTTATAAATTTTTACCCAAACCCTACCTTACCTAAACGTTCGATAAATGTAATTATATTTCTTTACCTACATATGACTTTTGTTGGAGTGATTGAACACTGTGTCGTCTCAATACTAAATTTCATCCAAAACTGTTTAGCTTTTCTTCAATGAAAATGTAATTAATATTTCTGCCTATCCTCGCAAAGATCTCATTAGACTATGTACAAATGTCTCAACATCTACCAAAGATCACGTCTCGACTAATTATTTAACTAATGTTAAAAGGAATAAATCTATCACGTGGTAATGTTGTACTTTATCAAATGACCTAGTTTACTATCAGATGCGCTGATCTTGACAATGAACCTGTCTGTTGTAGATAAACCGGCGCTAGACTCGCTGCGAGTTCCTAGAAATCTAGCCGTATTTCCGCTAAGCCAATTGACGGCAAAATTGAAATGGAATTTCGTTGAATGCCGACATTGCAGCGCCAAACAGAATACTAGTTTGATACTGAAAGTTATGCAATGAAAACTAGTACACACGTTTTGTAATTTTGCTAATAATTTAAGTTAAATAATGTTTGTAGTAACCAAATGATACAACAATGTTATTGTATCAAAGTATTTTGTTTCGGCCAACAAACAAAAAGCAGACAAAACAAAATTGAAAGCAAAAAATGTACGAGAAATCCATGAAACTCACATTTTGGCGCTCGTCAAAACTGGCCAGAAACGTTTTCGGTATTTATTTTCACAGATTTCACGGTCGTCGCGCCGGTACAAAGTCAAAGCTATGAAAGTGAATTCGGTATTTAAAAAAAGGTGAGTGACGTCAAAAAACAACGTGGGACGGACCGTAGTAATCACAGCTGGGCTGAAACCTTAGAAAAGACTTTCATCGAAACGGACTCGTGTCAGACATTTTCCTGTGTTTACAAACAAGAAACGATTTAAATCAAAGTTAATAACGCAACTGTCGGTCGCTGCACAGGATGTCACCCACTTTGAAGCATTCATTTATGATGTATCGAATGAATGTATTCCAGTGGGCCGCAATTCATTCAAATATCATTTGCTCAATAATGAATGAATGGCCGAAATGTTACGTACATCAGCTGTCCGAAAATATTAAAGCCTCGATTTCACGAGAAATACTCTATTTGTAAACAATTAACGATGTCGTAGTGGCCAGTGTGAAGCTCAGTGTTGTATGTAAACAAACAAACATATCGAGTTTCTGTTTTATCATTAATATTACGATTTTTCTCTCGTAACATTGAATGAAATGAATTGTAGTAATTTGTGGAGTATTTTTTGCAACTTTACTTTTGTTTTAGAGGTAGTCGTAGTGTGTTTTATTTGATGTTGTTGATATGATTGTCTTTGTGTTGATAGGTTTAAATTTATTAGCGATGATAATATGATTTGTCTATTGTTTACAAGTGAGTAGTATATTGTCGTGTGCTTATTAGTCGGTATAACTTTAAAATAACTGTTCAATACACAAATTCCTTCTTGATTCTATTGGTAAAAAGGTTATTTTGTATCAAATGTTTTAAAGGATATTAATAATGTAATTGATTGTTTATTATGAACATATATCTTATGTAGTTGTTACTTAAGCATTCTTTCATATGGTATAGGTGTTTAAAAAACTTTACGGTTGTTCTACAGAATATGCGTAGTTTATTGTATTGTGTAGTAAAACAAATTTGTTATTTAAAAGTGGTGGCGCGGAAAAATCTTTATTTTTATCTTCAGAGGCTAAATGTTTGCATCAAATAGTATTTTTCATGAATATTCACAAAAATATTGTGTAAAAATTAAAATATTTTACTTTCACGCAATATTTTTGTGTAATCCGTAAAAGAGTATTGTATGATGCATATTACAATCATTATTTAATGTTAAAGTTTGTTATTGTAACTTTTATAGACGAATTCTATGTCCGAAAATAACAGTGTTATCGTACATAGAAAATCGCGATTTCTCCTTTGTTTAGCTTTTTATTTACTTTTTTTGTTACATAATATGTGAATAGGGATGCATAGATATGGATTCTTGTCAATTAAAGCTGTTTGTATGATTGTATTGGTAATTAGCGTGTTTATCATAAATTACTCATTAACTAACGAGTATTTCGAGTTTCATCGGTGTATACATGACTATTTTAACCGTATTTCAGTCTTCTTACTGTTGGATCTCACTTAACTATCATGTAATCTAATTTTTAGCATCTAGGCGTTTGAGTGACAGTGTTCAATCTTAAGATTACTTCTGAGTGTTTGTTCCCTATTTAGTTAATATATCAGTGTTGCTTTATCAAGTCGGCGCGATTATAAAGTAAAAGTTGATTAACTTTTATAGATAATTATGTCATCTTGGAATGTTATTCGTTAGTCGCCAGCGAAGTTAGAGGTCTAGTGAATGTATCGAATTTGTTTATACTCATTCTGACATCCGACACACTCTTTTCATGTATTATTTTGTAACATTTGAACTTTAACTATTCTCCGTTATTTACGCGGCCCTTGCATTTCTCTAACAAAAGACATCAACGCGCGAGGATCATATTAATTATTTCAGTTTGTATGTTCGATTTCTTTAGTAAATGAATCTGATATTGCACTTTTCCGTTGTTTGCTATCGCTAAGCATTTAAATATTATCACGGTGCTGTGAGGAGTGTTATATATGCTTTCTGAGAATATTCCCCCGAAGACTTGTTCCTATTGTGCGTTTATGATTCATGTTATGTCTCCGGTGATATTGCGGTCATAAATCATGCATTAGCATTCGCCTCGCTATACATAAACATGCTGAGCTTAAATCGCAATATAGCTTCGCTAAGCCTTACAACTAAGTCGTTGAGACATGGTGAAGTGTGTCAGGATAATGAAAAGGGACTTCAGAGGACTTCTACCTAACTCATGTGTACCGTAACTTTTAGATGTTGATTTTTATATTATTTGAATAAATTTTGTATGTCATGTGTTTTCATTGCCTCTGGTCCCTGTTGACTATTAAGGTTGAAGAACAGATGTACTTACTCTATTTCTAATAGTTAATTATTTGCTCTCTGGGTAATTACAGGAAAAGGATGCGTGCACGCTGCCTCAGCCGAATCCTGCATAAATGAAGCCACGTACCTGGTCGTAGGCAGTATGTAGGATGCACGGCGTGCAGCCGGTGTGCGCGGACAGCAAAGTCGCGATTAACTGCAGAACATCTCCAGCTGGCCTATCGGGGTCAATGGGACAGTGGGTGGGATACACATGGGGTGCGAGCGAGTACGGGCGGCGCGCCGCTGGGCGTCAATGAGCGAGTGTATCGCGAGCCTGCCGAGCGCGGCCGCGACACTCGCGCGTTTAATCCCACTCGACTCTTGTCGGTCGATGCGGTACCGAAGAGGACTCGCGCATGACTAGATCGGCGTGCGGACGGCCCGGCGGCTGCCGAACAATGCGCAGCGCGGAACAAGCGCGCAACAATCGATAGGATGGGGCGTGCGCTGCGGTGTGCCTAGATCCGACCCCTCGCGGACATACGACACCCTTTATTTATATGATGACGTTCAAATCGACGTCATAATGAAAATTGAGCGAGCGCTTTTGGGCAGAACGCGCGAGGAAGCCGACAGGCGCGGGAGCGGCCGCGCGGCCTTCGCGCTCGCCGGAGCAACGTACGCGCAGCCTTACTGCGCCGCCGCACAACTCTGAAACAGAAGGTCAACTGCGAAGTGTTAATTTAAAAATTGAAACAGTTTGTAGTTTATTAGGATAGTTTTTCATGAAACTAACGTAAAAAAGATAAAAATATCTATTTTGAAGCAATTTGAAACAATATAAGCTGTAAGCAAGTTTGAAAAATGTTTAATACAATTCTGATATCAGTTATTAACGTAAACGACAGTTTCTAGTTTTTCATTAATTGACATGATAGTTTACAAGTTAAAATATTCTTACGTGACCAAGTTGAGTGAAGGTTGGCTGCTTGTCATTCAAACGGCGGACGCCACACATGTTATAAGTTATATCTTGTCGTTTAAACCAGGACGCATTTACGTGTACTGTAAGTGGAATTAGAATGTATTATTGAGAGGACCGGGGTCTGAGTAATGGCAGGCGCGGACGTCCCGCCTCGCGGAAATATGTCTATCTCACTCGCCGCGCGGCGGCCGCAGCGCGCAGACGCGAGCTCGCCCCCGCCTCGTTCTCACACTTACGCTACTTTTTAACTGGTGCTAACTTTCATGAAAGATACTAAACTCTTTAAAAGTCGGGTGCTAACTTTTTCGGCATCCTGTACATCAGTAATTTATACTCTAACTGTTCCAGTCACAAACTAATATATTAGCGCGTTGTTTCAAATTAATTTGAATCAAGTAGGTGTGTGATGTAGGCGGAAACTTTAGTGGTGGGCACGTGTCATATCATGTGTATTCATTCTATCTAGTACTGTCTGTGAACGTCCAGTTTCCTAGAATATTTCGCGGGTTTTTGAAATTTGTAAAACTTTAAGGGAAATGTGTTACGTTGAACTATGATTGTTTATAAATGGATCGTGTTACCAATGTTGTAGTTAATGGTTTTCAGAGACATATTAGACGTCAATGAACTGTTTAAAACTTTACAGTTTCTTAATGAGTTTTAGCTTTTAATTATTTGTGACACAAGTTCACATAGTATTTGAACTGAACATCTAAAATGATTAATTGAGAAATTAAACACTTTGGAAATATTTTTAGGATTTTATAACTCAAAAATTTGGCTTGCATACAACTTTCACTTTTGAAAAATGTGCAGTTATATCAACAAGTGAACGACTATGCTCCTCGACGGACGTGACCCCACTGAACTAGACTAGCATCATCGAATTAGTTTGTGAACACAAAAATAGTAAGGCTGGGTAAAATTAGAATGTTCGAGAGACGCTGTGTTCACTTTTAGATGAACTGTCGTTGAATCTTTGTTTGTAAACACTAGGATTCATGTTCTTAGATACTTGTATATGTAGAGGTATGTTTGTGAACATACGATTAGGCCAATTCTGGTCATTATGAATTTTATTCTAGATTAATTATGTCTAGTTTAATAATAAGTTTCTAAACATTCTCTCTTTAATAATTACACTTACGAATTCTATATGTAATTAATAAGGGTAAAATTAAATTATGACTTTCTTGACTCATATTTATATAATTAATTATCTTTCTCCGTACCGTAAGCAGCAGAATGCTAATCATGAATATGATCCTCTAGAATGATTTGAAACTAGTCGAGTTCCTCGTCAAAAAATTACGTGACTAAGCCAAAAAATATAATAAATAATTGATTAACAAGTGATTAAAATAATTATGAATTGTGAAATATTCACTGTAACCGTTTCGATAAGTCTTCAGCGGTTTTTTAAGCTCATGTTCAGCGGTGGACGTCCTGTGGCTAATATTATGATGATGATAACCTTTATCTTTTTCTCACTACACTACCTTCACAAGTGGGCTACCTCGAATATCTTAGTTTTATGTGTTTTATAGATGCAATATGGAAATATAGTTAGAATGCAATAATATATGTTACTTAGTCTGTATAGGTTAGTCGTTTCACAGCACGTCAACAGCCAGCTGAATAAACGCTCCCTTCTTACTCAGAGAAGGTGTATGCGACAGTTATAAGTCCTTAGTTCCTCTTGATGTTTAACTTTACCGTATGCGATCGTCGTGCATTAGAAGGGGGCGCCGGAACCACCGCACGCCATGACTCAGTATGGCCTTGGTATTAGTTTAGTCAGCTAACAATGGGGACGTCTGTGCAGGAATCGAACCCTCGACGTATTTTACAATTGATTATATATTATTTCGCTGGTAATTTTCAAGGGCAATTATTCAATTCGGTAAGACCGAGAGCGTCCTTTGCAGAATATCTTACTTAATAATGGAGAGTTATAGGCGATGTAACCTTCAAAGAGTCATTAAACATTTTATAGTCAAAATGATACAAAGTTAATCCACAAACTGTTACAATAAATTAGCATGTCCATTACCTATTCGGAGGTTTGAGACGCCCGCTTCTTATGCATGGTAGTGCGGGTTCGAAACCTACCAACAACAAGTACCAATGTGGCTTTTTCCGAGTTGTATGTACTTTCTAAGATTATTTAGACACCACTGACAAACGGTGAAGGAAAATATGTTAGGAAACCTGGGCTTACAATTTCTAATTATAAGTTTGAAATCGCCAACTCGCATGGTGATTAATGCTCAATCCTTTTGCGTGTGAGAAGGGGCTTTGCTTAGCAGTGAGCATTATAGACTGTTGATGATGATTAATCACATTGTTGTGAGGTATGTATATTTATTAAACCACTCAAAAATTACTTTTATAAATCTCACAATACATATATGTATATACATACATATGTTAATTTAACTTAATTAATTCTCACTTTTTGACCGACTTCAAAAAAAGAGGTTCGCAGTTTAACATGCGTGTATGTATGTGTGTGTGTATATTGTGCGCGATTAGCTGAACCTATTTCGATACGATTTATATGTACGCTATGATATGACGTCCCCTGAGCAACAAGACGACCCTGAGCAACAAGACGACCCTGAGCAACAAGACGTCCCCTGAGCAACAAGACGTCTCCTGAGCAACAAGACGACCCTGAGCAACAAGACGACCCTGAGCAACAAGACGTCCCCTGATGAATATAGGCATTATTATTGAATAGGTATATGAAAAATAAAATTTACTGTTTTACAATTCGATTTAATCAAAAATCTCTAATAAATAAGTTTTCTACAAAAACTCGACAATGTAAATTCTAAATTTTTATTCAGTTTCATCGCTTTATCACTCTATAGCGTCTTTATAAAGTTTAAAAATTCACTTACAAATATTTTCGGTGTTTAACGCCCAGTTTCTATAACTTATCTATCTGTAGATTTGCTTACTAGAAATAGAATTTTGACACATTTTGTATGGAGCTCATGTCATAATTCTATCTCTAGTAAGCAAATCTACAGATAGATAGGTTATTGAAACTGGTCGTTAGTGATTTATAAGAGTTTTGTGATCATTGTTCATTTTGAATTTTTGCCATTTCATAATATTTGTAGCAAAATTGTTTCAATGCATGTTGTCTTTTCTCAAATAAATTGTCTGCGACACAGTTCGGAATACAAATGGTAACTTTCAAGCACTCAGATCTTCGAAAAGTTTGTTACTTTAAACTCTGACTGCACTGGCGAGGCTCAAGAAACTTAAATAAACTAAATATTCTACGGACATTGGTTGGCCAATCGTTAGTTTAGCAGCCAATCACAAAGCTTACACTCAGTTATTGGAGAATGTTCAGAAATTGATTTCACAATTCTAGGAAAGAGTAGCGCACTAATATCTAGGTCACAGAATACTAGTGAACTAACAGTTTGGGTAAGGAACTACTTATGTATGCATATTGGCTGTATGACTGACTGCTGTGCAACGGGTCGCGGGTTCGATGTCCATATATGTCAAAAGTGTAAATTTGTTTTGGCACAAAGGTCAAGGCGCCCACTTCCTAGCATGACCCAATATGACCCGTTTCCTAGCCTCGTATATTCCAAAAACAAAATAAAAGTACACATTACATTATCATGATACGTCTGTTTTATTGATAAGTACATATTATTATAAAAAGTGTTACATGCTTAGGAATTGAGAATAATTCATCTATTAACTACGTTTAAAAAACCGACTAAAACTCCCTCTGTTTGAAGTCGGTTGATTAATATACTAAAACTTTATCCTAAGTGTACCATACATTTTTCTAAAAATCGTATCGAAATCGGTATAGCCAATCGCATAACGAGTAAGGGTCCGTACACAAAGCTGCGATGCGACGTCGCATCGCAAAAACTTGCCAATTGATTCGCGCATCGAAATGTTATCTTCCCAAAATCTTCTTTGTTTCTTTATCCTGTATCTCCAAAGCAATAACAGAAGTGCACAATTCTTTTTACCATCCATGTCACGACCTAGTGTTCAATTTAAAATACGTTTAGTACGGTTGACGGTCGTCAAAGGAATTTCACCCTAGAAGATGCCTTGTCGTAATTTTTTGCGTTTCGTTGCATACGAGCCCTAAGTACGTAACGACTATATTTTTTGTGATGTTGTATTTTAATTTTATTTACAAACTACGCTGTTCCCCGTGACATCGACCGCGTGTAATAAGGAGCATTGGCAGAATTTGGATATTTATTTAATCTCTTTCAAGGTTTCTAATGCTGTGCAACAAATCTCATCATAATCACTTAAGTGAAGTCGGCCCACAACTCGGCCGGAGTGATACCATAGTTGACTGGTAGAGAATGCCATATGGCATTAAGTTCGCCATAAAAACTAAATAAATAAATAAATACCGCGGCCTCACGGAAAACTGACGTGAAACAACACTGTGTTGTGTTTCGTCGTTTGAGTGAGGTTATCGGAGGTCCACTTACCCTCCCCTATTATGGTGTTTTATTTTTTTAAATTTGATGTCTCCGTTCAATTCCCACGAGTATGGGGGAAATATTCGGTCCGCCCAGGCAGTGCCCCCTGCTCTTGGGTAAGTGTAAATTTGTTTCCCAACTAGAGGGTCCACTGGTCCCCTAACTGGGAGTGCGCTAATGACTAACACCACTCCTCAGCCATGCATAGAACTTGGTATTAGAGGAATTTTTTATAGAGGTTATCTTCCTCGCGGTCCGAGCGACCAAGCCAAGACCCTCGTCCCGTTCCGAGTTATGAATCATGACCATGATCTCTTCCTGGATTACGATTTCAGCGGTTGCAGTCGAGGATACAGACAGGTAAATGCACAACGAGCACCGCTCTTGCCTCTCCGCCAGGTTCTCTGGTATGTTCAGAGAGACGACACGGGCGGAAAAACGACCCCTCGGAAGGGAAGGGTATGTGTCTGCACAAAGCCCGCCGCCTCCAGAACCCATCCCAGGTTCGTCCACCCCGTCCAGAAGTTCGCTGCAGGCAATAACCACTCCAATCCTATCACCTCTGTTAGAGAGACTACTACCTGTACCCAGGGTGCACCACGGGCAGGCCTTCTGGCACGTACGTACCCCAGGAAATTCAAATTTGGGGTTTCATTTTCTTGGATTCACATTTGCATAGAATACTCCACCTACTGCGCCAACCACGTGGTACTGGTGTGTAGCACACCACTATGAAAAATTAATAAGTTTTTTGTAGTAAGTACACAAATTAAATTACTTATGAAGTTTAATATATATTTTTATAAAGTATGCTATACAGTATTTATTATTATTATTACTATTAGTTATTTATTTTGTTTTTTTTTTTGGATATTACACAGGCCCATTTTCGCTGAGCTTACATTTAACCCAAAGGTTGACTGGGAGAAAATGCCATATGGCACTAAGTCCGCCTTATGTACCTTATTTTGTGTGTATTAAAGTGTAAAATAAATAAATAAATAAATATAATTGCATAATATGATAATAATTATAATGACATTATTATAATTGGCTGCTACTTTCACACACAATATTTTATTTCGGTTAGTCTTCCATAGTTGTTATACAAATTAACAAATAACTTTTCTTACAGTGCACATCTAATAAATTATACAACCTAATATCATGCCGGTTTTTGATCCCCTAAGAGATAAGCAAAGTTACTCGCGATTCTACAATCGGTTTACGCAAAGGCAACCCGAGTCGCACCAGTAACGCCATCTCGTGGGGAGTAGCGAAACTAACTAGAAACAGACGCGGGAAGTAGCGGTACTAAATTGAAACTGCTTCAGCACTAGCAGAAAATACAAAAAAAAAACGATTTTAAACAATTATTTCGTACTTACAACGTTTTATTTCCTTTCAGGTAATAAAATGCATTATGTTACATATGTAACAATGTATGTATGTATGTATAGTATAATAAAAAAACTATACTTCTGAAAATTGTGTTAAATATTTTGTTTATATTATAAATAAGTTGTCTTATCATTAACATAATTTTAGATCTCCTTTCGTCTGTGACACAGGAATATTCCTAGTATAGGCATATTAATTTGTAAAATCTTGTCGCTTATTTAAGATAAAATATGCTATACTTATGTTGGCCATTCTTAATATGAATAAATAAAACGTTTTATATTATATTTGTTTCGTTTCAACGTATTAAGTGGTTGTACTGTAGTGGTAGTAACTGATTATTTATCAATTACTATATATAGAAAAAACCGAACTTATTATTTTATATAATAATTCTAGGTATAACAATTCTATATCGAGCTAGTACCCCTCAATACCCTGAATCTATCTTATCTATACTAGTCATATAAATAAACTCAACGCCTGGAGGAACGTTGTTTGATATTTCACGTAAATGTGATTTGCTAAGAACTTTAATCTAGGCGCTTAGCCAGATCGTAAGTAAATAAAAACTTAAATAACAATAAATATGTACAACTTAATATTTATTGACTGCCTCATTGGCAGAGTGGTCGTAAATGCGACTGCCAGGCAAGGGGTCTCGGGTTAGATTCCAGAGTCGGGGATAGTATTACTGGGTTTTTCTAAAAAAATCTCAGTAGTAGCACGGAGTCTGGAATTGTGCCCGGTATATGGGAATAGGCTCACCCCCTATTACATGGGACTCATAACATAAATAGTGAAAAGTGGGTGTTACATTGTACAGTGGCATAATGTACACCTCTGCCTACCCCTTCGGGGATAAAAGGCGTGATGTTATGTTTATGTTATGTTAAAATTAACTAAAATTAAAACAGTGAATAAAAAAAGAATCGTCATTTAGAGGTCAAACAATTCGTCCGCAGTACTATCACTGGTGAACGTACCCAGATTACTGGCAGCATTGCCATGTTGAATGGCAATGTTTATTTTCTGTCCGAAGAAACAGTCAGCCCTCTGGTCATGAGTTTCTTATAAACCGAATTTGCCCTGTAACCCAATGACCCAAGTGTTTCGACACCAAACGGCTCAAAATTAAAAACGCTTTTTGTTAGTTTTTGGCAATTTTTACGCATCTTCAAGAGCATTTAGATTTTAGAACAGAACTTTTTTTATTCGATTTATCAAAATAGATTCATTCTAGTCCTAGTCCTTTCGCTAGTTCCGAAGATTAGACTGTACGAACAGACAAACATACAAAGACTTTTTGATTTCTAAAATGAACTCTAGTGTTAACTACTTGATTACGTACCATTTTTTGAAATTTGAAAATATACGTCCCATAAATATTCCGGACACCGTATTGCACACGGTATTGCACTATTGTGCACCATACTGTAAGCGGTGATAACTAAAACTCCCTTATTTCTGATATAAAAAAGCAGTACCAAAGAATAAGGTACTATAATAATTATAGTACCCATTGGAATTGCAAGTAGACACCTTACGACTATTTTATTTTGTCCACGAATAATTTGATATAGGTACCTGTGTATGTACAAAACTTACTAAAACATAATTTTCAGTGAGTTATGCTAAAAGCTAAGATTTATGTTATGTGTATGTGATTTTTCAAAATGTTCAAAAGTGTGGTATAATTTTCAAACCGTACATTTTCGCTGAACATAAGTAAGGTACATTAGGTTATGTCCGTAAGGGTTGAGGAGCCACATCACATTTTTAAAATCTGATCTCGCCATTATTTAGCAGTAGTTTAGCTTATTTTGCAGCACGAATTCTAGATTTAGCAGCAAAATATATCACTAGTTATTTTAATGCAAACATGGCTCCTCAATCTAAACGTTTGAATTGAGGAGCCACCTAGAACTCGTTAAGTAATAGATGAATATTTATGAAAATTTTGTATCATTTAGTAGTAATTTTGCACATTACCATATAAAAATTTGGCTTCTGTAGTGCTATAATTGAAGAAAATACAATACTTTTAATATGGCTCCTCAATCTAAACACAAGAGGTGAATTTCTATTTGGATGTGAG